GCTCGCCCGTTCGCCCACTCGTGCGCATCAAGTGCCGATGCGCACCTTTTGCCATTCCGCTTCTCACTAGACTCGCTGGACTCCAAAGCCACTTCTGTATCAACATGTTAATATGCCCACCGCGTAGGTGACGTGCACTAATTGGTGATGTATTTTTATAAACATATTAACATCACCAATGAGTGCATGCCACCTACGCGGTGGACATATTAATATGTGCCCACCGTGAGTAGGTGAGCGTTTCTCTAAATATAGATTAACTATAGCTAATTGAATCCATAAACAATCACGTGCGAGTCGCAGAGCTGGCTGAACAAGCTAAAGTGGCTACACCCCCCAGTTGACACAGTCCGTCTGGTCTGGTCTTAAAAAATGCTCAACTAAAGCCTAACCATCAAATTCCTCCAATGGCCTCCACCGGTAACCCTGCCGCCCCTGACCACTTCAACGAAGACGAAGATCTTCTCGACGACGAGGAATTCTCCCACGATGAAGACGACTCCGCCTCCTCCGCCGCTCTCGCCGTCGATCGCCATCCCCCATCCACCTCCGACGCCCAGGTCACGATCGCCGTCCCCGGAATCCCCGATACACACCTGAGCCGCCACCACCACCACCACCACCAGCAGCAGCAGGCGCTGGAACTCGTCATCGCTAAAAGGCAGGTCCCACCGGACGAGTCCCGCAAGCTCTTCCAGCGCCTGTGGACTGACGAGGACGAGATCGAACTGCTACAGGGGTTCCTCGACTACACAAGCCTGCACCGTGGGCCCCACGGCTCCTCCCAGCATCATCACGACACAACCGCCTTCTATGACCAGATCAGGAGCAAATTCCAGCTTGATTTTAACAAGAATCAGCTCGTCGAGAAGCTCCGGCGCCTCAAGAAGAAGTACCGGAACGTCGTCAACAAGTTCGGCTCCGGCAAAGAATACACCTTCAAGAGCCCCCACGAACAGGCCACCTTCGAAATCTCCTCCAAGATCTGGGGCAATCCCCCTGCGGTCAACGTCAACGTCTCCTCCTCTGCCTTCCCCATCACCGCTGTCCCCGTCCCCATCCCCATCCCCATCCCCATCCCCATCGAGGATGAAGATGATGACCTAAACAACCCTAATTTTGCAGATTGCCAGAGCCCCAACCTTAATGGTATCGACATAAACAGCAAAACCTTACGGCCCAAGAAGAGGAGCCGAGTTGGCATGGTGAAAATGGAGGAAAGACAACAACATGCCTCCGTTGGTAATGTCAATAATTACACTCAGTCAACGCCAACTGTGGCTGCTCAGGGAATATCCGGATCTTTGTCGAGTGTAATTGAAGAGACTGTGAAGAGTTGTTTATCTCCCATATTCAAGGAGCTGCTGAGCAATTCAATGAGCTCCAATCACAGTCCACACGGGCTGTACTGTGGGCAGCATGTGTATGAGCTGGCGCGAAGCTCGCTTCCATTAGGTTTTGCGGCGGCCAATGAGAGGTGGAGGAAGCAACATATATTGGAGTTGGAGGTATTCTCCAAGCGGCTGGAGTTGTTGCAGAATCAGATAAGAGAGCAATTGGAGGAGCTTAGGTCCAGGGGGAATTAATTGGCAGGCGTGTAAGTGTCTCTTGCTTCGGCATTCTATTTGGATTCATCCTTTTAATGGGTTGTTTGATGGTTATCTGTAAATGTGAAACTGCAGATCCCGCTTTGTTCATGATTCGTGAATAATGAGTTGAGTCTGTTGAGATTGTTTGGTCTTTGGTTGGTTGCTCGTTGTCTTCACATAAGTGCTGGATACTTTGACATGTAAAATTTGGAATCTGCTAGTTCCGACTCCTTGAAGGCCATGGTGCTTCGAACGAAGATGTGTCAGCAAGAGATTAATTATCATTGAAGCAAAGAGGGAAGGCATAGTTTAGAATCTTGATGACACAAGTAGAAGTTGATGGCTTGCTTTGTATTAGGGATTACTAAATTGCCCTTCCCCTCCTCTTGGTATATCTATATATATCCCATAGTTGGAAATGTTGTCTTGTTTCACCTGTGATGTGCCCTGGCCTGTTCTTTTCTTTTACTCATTTTCTTTATATACATTTTTCTTGTAAACATTGCATAGGTGCTCATTGTGGAACCCTTGACCTTGTTGGGAACAATATATATTAACAAATGTTGCTTAGTAGAATTTAATTTCGAGTTAACTATCTGTGAATTGTGGATTTGGATTAACTAAAAGAAATCTCCTTACAAAGTACACTAGTATCTTAGCTAAAATATCCTGGCCATGCACATCTAGTAATTGAATTGAGATGCCAATCCTAAACAAACTGCAGACATGTAAAACTGCTTACTTCCTTTTGCCAGAATGGGCCTTGTCCATCTGTCTAAACCTTATGCTCTATGTAAAATATTAATGTTGCCTACTACTGGTTGCATTGTGTTTTTCCTTGGTATTGATTGATCTCATGCATAAACCGAGCAAAAATTGTGGATGCGGCAGCTGAATATGGAAAAAGCAAAACAAACTTCTCATACAGTCATTATAAAGAATATATATTACCCTTCCCCTTTTAGAAATATGGGGGAAAAGGGAGGTGCAAATGGAAAAAATGAAGAGAAGAATCCAGAAAATGTAGTTACAAGGAGAAAATTCCACGAGGATGAAATATGAATGATATCCCCATCCTTTCAGAGCTTGACCCCGAAGTTACAGGTACTGGCTTGAATTCTGATGAAGCTATTAGTCGACAGGCGATCGACAATCAGCCTGCAGCTGCCTAATATCCTCACCTTGGTCAGCTTCAGCTTCCCGAGTTTAATCTTGACAGGAACATCTATCTTGAGATCCAAGGGGATCCGTCCCGTCATTTGCTCCTCTTGCAACGCATCCAGTAAAGTCCTCCCGTATTGATTTTGTCCGCTTAGGCCCACACTCAACATTGTTGTGTTGCGGTGTCCCTGGTAGAATGTGGGCAATGATCCCTGGCAAAGGTTTGTGTTTTTGTACCATACGCTTAGGTGGCTCCCTCTCTCATAGTATATACCGATCTTTTTATTGGGGTTGTTGGCCGTGATCCTGACACTGAACCTCGCGTAGAGGCTGAGGTCGAAATTGAGTGTGAGGTCTGATATCCTGAGGTTGTCGACTGAGTATTGAGGGAGTTTTGGTTGGAAAATGAGGTAGATAACGCCTGCAGTGGCTCCTATGATGACGAGCAGGAGGATGAGGAGGCCGACTGTCCAACACAGGCATTTGCACCAGCAACTCCTTTTGTGGGGCATTGCTGTAATTGCTTGTCCTTGACGATTCTGAAATGGTTGGTCGGATTTTATCATCCGCACTAGAGGGCGCGTCGGAGTTGGTGGTGCTCCGACATCAACTGCCACCGGATGTATCCTCTGCTGGTCTGTCATTAGTGTGACAACTCTTTTCTATTCTAAATTTCACTTGTTATTTAGATTACTCGGAAAAGGAATGCCTCGCCTTCATCGGACAGGGTGAATACAAAATGGATATTTTTTTTCTCACAGGCTGTGAGTAT